AACCAAAAAAAAAAACCAAAAAAAAAAACAAAAACAAAAACAAAAAAAAGAAAACAAACAAAAAAAAGCTTAGAGACAAAATGAAGAACTGAGAGAGCAGGGACATGGCTCAGTAGGACACGCAGTATCGAGCATGTGTGAGGCTCTGGTTTAATTTCTAGTATCACAAAAGCAAAAAACAAACAAACCAACAAACCTCAATCTCACTTACTATTTAACTTTCTGTGTATAAGTTTCTCATTTGCAAATTAAGAACAAAAACATCTAGATTCTGTAACTGTGTATGTGGTACCCAGCAGGTAATAATTTATTGAATGAAAACATAAAACTCTTGAGCATTGCGGAAGCAGTATTTGTGAAAGACTTAGCACACTATCAGGCACACTAAAAGCTCACATTAAATACTGTCACCGCCCGAACTTTTAATGTGTCCTATTTCTCATACTCCAAAACATTTTTGTTCCATTTTCAAAAGAAGTCTATGGTTATTAATTTAGCCTTACTGTGTCTCCAATGCCTTCTCTTGCACCGAGTCTCGATTTACGTCTATGGTTTGGAGTCCCACCCCTTAGTACTACCTTTTTTTGTCCATCCAGATAACAAATCTTTGCTCTTACCTCACAAAGCCCAGAAAGCCCTTTCCAATCTCTCTGGTTTTAGTACCCCACCCCACCCCCGCCTTCTTGGAACTCTATCTTTATTTACTTGGTATTATCTACTGCTGTCTAAGCTTTTAAGAACTTTGTCGATTCCATTTCACCTTTTCCTTTCATATCACCTAACTGGCCCCCAAACAAATGGATGCCCACTGCATTTAGTCCAAACTGGGAGATCTAAGCCATTGGTAAGATGAGGCGACACGGCGGGGGGAAGGTGCTCTATGCTGCTAGTGTGTTCCCAGGAAGGTCGTGAGTGATAGTCCTTTTCTTTCTGCAATGTTATAACTGTGATTTTACAGACCCTAAGGTCCTAAGAGCCTTCTTGAGCATATATGAACAAAAGAATGCATAAACAGATGGCAGTGAAATATTAAGGGCTATTTCTTTTCTCTATTTATAATTTTTGTGTTTTAATAATTCAGTGATTCACATAAGACATCAGAGTGATCCTCTGCTGCACTGTGCCCAGTGTCCCCTAACTAATGTTTACTGCTCAGTGTTTTCCAATAACTGGTATTTTCATAACGTTATGTTCAAAACACAAGACTTTCTATTGCAAAAGTGATACTATCAATGTATTTAAATATATGTAAAACACCAAATATAATTTTAAAATATTCTTACCTAATCCTTTTTGTCCTGGATTCTTTGCAAAATTAAAAGTAAACTGGTAAAAATCCTTAAATCGTCCTGGTTCTTTCAATTCTTGTTCCATCTTGGGTATTTGGGCCTTTAGTTTTTCTATGCTGTCACATCTACATTATAAAATTAAGTTTGTAAACGGTTAACTTTTCACTAGAAATTAAAAAACTTACTTAATTATTCCTATGAGGGCTTGCATTTGTTTCCTAGAACTTATTTTTTAAAATCAGATATATGGGATTTCATCTTTTTACATATATTAAGAAGGCAGTCTCCCCTTAGTCACAGGGATGTAAGTCCCTCACTGACCCCTGAAACCTTGGTGAGCATCATGCCTCAGAGATATGCAGCTTCTTCTTGCACATACAGCGCTATGATACAAAGTGTAATTTATAAATGAGACAAAGCAAGACATTAATCAGAACTAATCATAAAACAATTACGTGGCAATGAAAATATTATGCATGTATTCTCCATCTACTTAGAAGGAACGCCTCTCTGGCACATCTTAACTGCCAGCATCACTGCTCCTACACTGTTGGACGGACCACTGTGAAATAAAGTAGGGCCACCTGGACATAAGTACTAGGATCGCAATCTGGTAACTGAGAAAACCACTAAGTGACTACCAGACAGGCAGGTACAGTGAGGGTTGCTGGACAAAGGGCAGCTGATACTTCAGGCAGGACAGCAGGACAGTTTAAAAATCTTTCTGCTCTAGTCAGAATGATGCCCAACTTAAAACTGAGGGATTTTTTTTTTCCTGGAAACTTTCAACTAATAATTTGGGAACACCGTCAACTATAAGTCACTAAAACTTCAAAAAAGCCACGGATAAAGGGTGACTCTTGTCTAGAGTTAGCTTAATGAAGACAATGGAATGATGAAATGTTAGAATTACTTTTTATATATATGAACTCACCAAACTCAACACACTGACGTACAGACTCCACTTCTACCCCAGTGACCAGATAAGAACGTCCACACTCAGCTCCACAGCCGCTACTCTCGCTGTGGTGGGCACAGCTGCACAGCAGTTAGTCACAGGTCTAGCTTCCCCACAGCTAGAACAAGGTCTCTTGCTAAGGAAGCGTTCTTCTGGAAAACTTGCTTTTACTAAATATTAGCTAAAGCTTGTACTGCCTTCATCTGAATCACCTAAAGTAGGATTAGGATGTTTTTTCTATTTACAAAACTTTCAAAGAGCTAAAAAGGTCCATGTACTTCATTAGTTCCTCACAACAATGGCCTTATGATAGAAATATCCCATTTCTTAAAGATTCTACAAACAAATCAACCTGCTCTCTCCTCTAAACTTTCTGCTTTTTATCTGCCTTCTATGTTCTCTCTAATATTTCAGGTCATATTTTATATTGCATTCTCCATAGACCGTGACATTCCTTTTCCCTAAGTTCCAGTGACATCTGCCACAGAGAAGCCCAGCAGACTCCAGCTGGCTCGGTTTGGCTCAAACACAGGGTCCAGGCACATTATCAATTTATTGTCTCTCTGTGTCATGCCCACCATTCTCTGCCCTGCTTTGCAGTGGTCAGCCACAAACCACTGAACATTATTATTTTTGCCAGCTCGCCCACTGTCAGGGTCTACTGACAGGGCTAGAAGGCTAGGGGAGGAAAGGAGATTCTTACCGAGGTTGTTGTCAATGCAGGAAAATGGTTTTAGTGTGTGGAAGGTCCCAGCAGTGCCTACCAGTGGGGGCAACTCTTACAGCAACCCACCCACTGACCTCTAACCAGTTTTTATTCAGCATGGAAGCAGCCCTTCCTCTCCCCCAGGGACTGAATTCCGGCCTGTCTGGCTGGCTCACTCAATGCAGTCCCATGGGTGGCGAGAGCGACTGCCACCTCTTTACACCTTAGGGTTTTCTTTTACACAGTCTAGTACTTCTTTACACTTTGTGGTCAAATTACTGGGGAGGCTGTATCCTGACTGGGCCCTAAGACTCAGTAAGCAGAGTCCTGCTTGTGTCCTGACTGGAATAGCACCTGGTGTTATTACCTGTTAGGGGTCAGTAAGTACCTCCCTCACAGAAGTGGTCATGAAGAGGTAGGCAAAGCAGGTATTGGGATGAAGCCATGCTTGGTTAATGGGAACTTTTTTTTGTTTTGTTAGATTTTGGAGACAGGATCTCACATGGTAGCCCACGCTGGCCTTGAGCACCTGTCGCTGAGGATGACCTGAACTCCTGCATCTGCCTCCCGAGGGCTGGGCATTCCTGGGCTTCCCACCAGGCCCAGCTTTCAGACTATTTCTACAGTCCCATCAAACAGAGATTGTCAGCAAAACCTTTACCTATGACTTTTCAATCTACCTATTCAAACACATTCAGCCAAACTAGCCATCAAGGCACTAAGTAGAAGAAAAGCATTTAATACCCTCTAGTTTTTAAATTCTGTATTTTACCAGTTCAAAGTACACTGCCTCAAATTAGGAAATAATTTACTTGCTCATTTCACTTTGCTATAAATATTAATGTCAGGTAATTTGAATATTAGTTACTCTCCTAGGAACAAATGATTCAAGGACAATGCAGTTAGAGGAGGCTACAAAGTTATACTGGCATTTGGCAAACCCAGAAAATATCAGGGAAACAACATACTGACTCAATACTGTTTGTGGGCTAGTAAAAACTTAAATTTCCATTTAAAAACAGATGAAAAAATTGAGCTCCATCCTTCTCCTAGCTAGTCATCATCTCCTACGGAAGTGACATACTCACCCTAATTCTGTCATACCATCCATGAACTCCTGTTTGGAGAACTCGCACTGTGTGGCTGCCCTGAACTTCCATGCAATGATCAACACACTAATGCTGGCTGGATCGAGGGCCAGATCATCACAGAACTGTTGTATACCATCTATTCCAATTTTATTTTCATCTTGAGGATCTTTAAAAATACCAATACAATATAAAATTAATGCAATACTTATAAGGTTATAGTCATAACAAAAAGATGCTGTTTTATTACTTATTTTAATTACTTATTTAAAACAAATCACAATATACCAAAGACATGAAGCAATATTATTTTTACAGCTGTTTCCCCATATAACAACCAAAGTCACTATTAAAGTGTACAGGACAGTGTAAAAGTAGTCAGACATTTAATGTTTAAAAGTCTCACTTATGGAGCCACAGGCTTGGTGCCATACCCCTTTACTTCCAGTACTAGGGAGGCAGAAACAGGTGGATGTCTGTGAGTTCCAGGCTAGCCTGGTCTACATAGTGAGTTCCAGAATATCCAGAGTTACATAATGAGATCTGTCTAAAAACAAAACAAAACACAAAAAAAAAACCACCTCACTTATCCATGTGAAAAAGTTATACATACAAATAAAATAAGATCTGCTTAACCAAGGGCAAGGGATTTTGGGTCAACACACCCCTATTTTATTTAATCAGGCATTCAAAATTAACAATATTAAATTAGAAAACTTTTTTTCTTAAAATTTATTTTATCACAATCACTTAAGTTCTAGTAAAGTCAAATATACAATTCAATCTTAATCTCAACAGTATAAATATCTGATGTTTACAATAGGAAACCTGTGAAGTTTAAAAAAAGACATATACAAAGAGATTCCCCTATATTGCTACCAAATATGATTTGCTAAAGTCTAAAGTATCTGGTAGTGACTCTAGCAGATAAATGATGCATATAAGGCTGGGTGTGTAGTTCAGTGGCAGAGCATTTGCCTGGCCTGCATAATGGTAAAGCCCTAGATTTACTCCCCGTATTACTAAAAAATGAAAAATAAAGCAAGACTTTGGAGCATGAATTATGTATGTAACATAATCCCACTTGGGTGAAATTTTGAAAATGGCTCTATATATGTTTGCATAAACAAAAGACAGGCATGTACTCATACTGAACTGTTAAACATAGGTTACTCTCAGGAGAATAAGGAACAGCTAAACTATTAACCTTTTCCTCTCTTTTTTTTTTCTTTTTTTTTCTTTTTTCCCCTTTCAGAGATGGTCTTATAATTTAGGCCAGGCTAACCTTGAACTCTCAATCCAACTCCTCTGTCTCTGAGATACAGGATTGTACCACTATGCTCAGCTTTTCAAGTTTTTTAAAGTATGTGTTACATTACAAAAAGTTATGACACAGACTTTCTTAAAACCCGGCTCAGCAAACTTTACTAACACAAGGTTAGGAAAAATTGCCTCTAATCTTCCCTTCTCAAACTATGTGATGGGGATAGGCCAAGCAGAGATTAAGCGCCAAGGAGATCATCTCTAAGGTATTTCTAGTTCCAGGATCTGCTGTAGCTCTGCTGCACACACTGACTCCACAGTCTGTGGAGCTGATGTCTCAGAACCAGTCTTTAGCTTGGAAAAACTTTGCTCAACACAGTGAAGTTATCTGGCACTCACCTTTGTATCTATTGTACAGTTGTTCTAACTTCTTCCTGTCCAAGGATCCTTTTACACTCTCCCGGATATAAAGTTCTGGATTTTGAAAAAAGTTATCTGTTGCAACATCTAACTTCCAGTCATTTTGAGAAAGACAACTCACTGCAGTTTTCTCGCTAGATTGTGTGAAGATCATAAACTGACGAACTTTATCCTTCTGCGATGATTTCAACTTGTTCTAGGAGAACCAGAAAACAGACTGAGACTGTGCAAAGTCACACACCACGACCCCCCACATCAACGCAGCTAAGCCACCGCCATTAGAACGTGTGCTTCACAAACCACGAAAGCATTTCCACTATGACTTCCTTGTGATCCATCGTCAATCAGCAAGACAATTTAAAAGTACCTGAGCTCTTTTTCTATTTCCTCTCTGCTGTCTGCTCTGTTCCCTCCCCCGAGGCCTGGCTCTCCTCCCTCCTATCCCCTCCTTCCTTCTAATAAAGCCCTCGGTAACTCTAAAATAAATAAATAAATAAATAAATAAATAAATAAATAAACAAACAAATAAAAATAATAAAAATAAAAAAAAATAAAAGTATCTGATACAGCAAGGGTGGCAGCCTCCTGGAAGGGTGGCCAGCGAGACAGAACAAGAGCACTCAGCCAGGGGCAACCCGCCATGGCAAGGAGCACTCACAGGCATTGCTGCAATCCCACTGCCCAGGCCAGCACTCCCTCCCAAGAGTGTGCTCTTTTCACCAAATGGAGGAGGCGATGGCACAGGACAGCCTACATTTCTCCGGGGTGGTGTTTAGGAAACATACAATGCTACCAGAATTGCCTCAAATCAGAAGCACCCACACTACTTAGACACTTCCTTTAAAGGGGTCTTTGAATTACACATTTACTTAGTGTGTGTACGTGCGCACATGTGTGGGGGAGGGTGTGCACACACATGCATGTGCACATACTTATGGCACACACATGTCAAGATGCGATGTGGAGGGCAGAGGACAGTTTGCAGGAGTCACTTCTCCCTTCTCCCATCCATGTCTTCGGGAGAGAACTCAGGCTGCAGACTTGGCGGCAGGCAGTTCCTTTGCCAGCTGAGCCGTCGCTGGTCCCTGAGACACTCTCACTAAGAGTCTCCCTTGGTTTCTCTAGAAGGAATCCGCTCTCTTTTTCCATGCTTGGCCTAAGAGGCCCCAAGTTTTCCCTTGCCCGACACTGACAAAGATTCTGAGACAGGGCCATCAGGCTCTGCTCTGTCCTGCCCTCAAAGACTGTGCTCTCCCCTCCCACTCAAGCCGGGCTCCTGGACAAGGCCCTGCACTCTTCCTCCTTGCAAGTCCCATTTCTGTTTTCTCGGTAAAATACTTGGGCTCTTCTAATGCTATAATGTAAATGGAGGGTCAAACACATTAAAGAGACAGCGTTGTGTCTTTTAAGCAACACACCTGGAACTCCAACATCTGAACATGGAGAAAACAGACCCGGAGGCTAGGTTCTTGGTTCACCAAACTTGCCCAACTTATAAAGGAAAAATGAGGGAAGAACAGGAGTAGCCTTCAAAATTCAAATCCTGGTAATTTTTCCGGGACCCTTCCTGCTTGATGGATATTTAAAAAGCTTTTGAGAGTCTCGGGGAGACTATCAAAGATACAAGCATCACCACTACCACAGAGGGAAAATGAGACTACAAAATCCAGTGTAAAACAAACCCTCTCTCTCGGAACACGAAATCCACCTATGCCCAGGAGCCTCATCTATCACTCTCTCCTCTCTCTGCAAATGTTAATGCACGAGTTACAAATTACAACCTCAACCACTATCCTCCACTGAAAGAGAAATTGTAAAATACACTAGCTGCCCTTCAATTATAAGCCTACCACCTCTGGATACCACCTCAGTTATAGCCCAGTGCTTCTCAACCTGTGGGTCATGACCCCTTTGCCAAACCTTTAGCTCTGAAAATATTTACATTACAATTCATAACAGTAGCAAAATTACAGTTATGAAGTGGTAACGGAAATAATTTTATGGCTGGGGTTACCACAACATGAGGAACTGTGTTAAAGGGTCGCAGCATTAGGAAGGTTGAAAACCACTGCTCTAGCCTATCCATGAGATGCATCTCTCAAAGATCCAGGATTACTCTTATCCTTGAAATGTATTATTCAGTGACAATCCTAATGAAATAACAAAAAAGGAAATAATTTAAATTCCTGAAAGTTAATTAACTGAAAGTAAACAAGAAACTCATTTTTATTTCAACCTTGGAAATTATTCTGAAATACGGCATAGTTTCTCCCCCTAACCACAGGGTATCTGACATATTTATATACCTTTAAAGTATCTGGGTGTCACTGTTATCATCAGGGCCACTTATGCACAATGCAGAAAGTGAAGCTGGAAACTACTTTTTAATTAACCCTGATAAAACTTCTTACATAGCTCCCCACCACCACCCCCAACTCCCCACCCCACTGCCTCGCTGCCTATTCTTCTAAAGTTGGAGGTAGCAAGACAGTCTAGCCTACCTGGGATTTTAATCCAACAGTATTGAGCCCAGTACACTGTCCCTGCTGGAGACAGGAACTCCAAAAGCACAGCTTAAACTACTCTACAAGTCGAGAATCACTCACTGCCTTGCCTTGGTGACTTCCTGACAGAAAGCTAAATATTGGAAGACAGAGAGGGGAAAGATAAAAAGACTGTCTTGTCCAACTAAGCAACAACATTACATGAACTACTTAATTTCATGTCACACCACTTGTTTTTAATACAGTAACTATTCCGTCTGGCACAAATGTAAACTTTCGGTCTGTGGGGAAATAAACACATTCTTCAAAAGCAACTAGTTACCCATTTGTAACCTCATAAACAACTGGGCAGCACCTGGCGAAGATCGATAGAGGGAGGCAGAGAGCTGAGAGGTCACGTGATACCCGTTTCTGCCTGCTCCTGCAATGTCTGATAAGCACCACCACTTCTGGGATGGCTGTCACATTCCTCTCAGCTCCGCACCTAGAGCAAGTTTTAGCACTCACTTTCCTCCGGAAGGATGCACTTTCTTCAGACCACAGGGCTCTCCTAGGTAAACTACATCTGCACTCTGCTCAAGCTGGTTAGAATCCTAACACGCCCACCCTCCTTTCCCAGGCCACACAGGTGGTATTTACTGGGCAAGGTGTTTCAATCCAAGAGAGAATGGCATCAAAAGTTGGCCAACCTCAGGAGAAGGGTCACTAGATTTAGCAGGGCATGATTGAGAAACAGGAGATAAGAGGGTGGATTTAAAAAAAAAAAAAAAAAAACTGAAGAGGAAGAAAGGGCAGATTTTTCTTTCTTAAATTTGGTTTCTTGAGACAAGGTTTCTCTGTGTAGCCCTGGCTGTCCTGGAACTTGCTCTGTAGACCAGGTTAGACTTGAACTCACAGAGATCCACCTGCCTCTGCCTCCTGAGTGCTGAGATTAAAGGTGTACGCCACAATGCCTGGCTGTAGATTTTCTCTATTTATATAAAAAAGCTAATGGAGACCACTTTCCATGAGACAGCCTCAAAGACTCGGCAGTCGAATGTGTGCTGTGGACTGATTTCCTTTGCTGCGTACTGAAAAGGACTACAGCAGAGTGGCTGGTAAATCGGCTAAGCCGTGCAACATCAATCCTCACAAGTGTTAAACTCACTCAGACATTACTGAGTTTTCAAGAAAAGTCAACAGTGGTAAGCAGGAGAGGACACACAATACTCAGGTTCTGTTAGGATTCTTACTTTTATTCTAGAGCAAAAAAAAAAAAAAGAAAGAGAGAAAGAAAGAAAGAAAAGAGAGGGGTGGGAGAAGAAAACCCAGAAAAATTCCATAATCTGAACAATAAAACTCATCTATTTTCTTTACAAAATAAAAAAAAAATGCCTAGACTGTGAACACATACCACTTTGTACCTAAATCTTCCCTCCTTTTTTAACTTAATAAACTTAAGACTCACATTAGAAAAGAAACAAACAAAACAACCTTTCTGGAAAGACGGTGTGGCTCAGTGGTAGAATACATACTGCAAGTTTAATGTCCAGCACCAAAATAAGAGGTTTATCCGAAAAATTCAAATACGGTGTTTTAGATCTAGCCAAGCACATCTTCAAGCATATTTTACCACTAAACTCACAAAACAGTGATTAGATGAACAGATTACATAAAATCATAATAATGTCTTCCTATTATGCTCCCCAAGAAAAATCATGTGCATGGAAAATGACCTCCTGGCCAACTAACACCCCAAATTTTCAAAACAGAAGTAACTTGACTGAGAAGCGGTGCTTGTAAAACGAAAATTCCTTCATTAATTTTCACCCACAATGTTCATCTTCTTCCCTTTCCCTCAGCCTCAGCCTCAATCTCAACTCTAGGACACTCGGGTCCACAGTTTCAAAGAACCTTTTCAAAGTGAGCACCAGTGTTTCGCCTGCAGGCATGCATGCATATCAAGTGCCTATAGAAGCTGGATGAGGGAGGGCATCGGATCCTCTGGAACTGGAGTCACAGATGATTGTGAGCTGCCATGTGGATACCTAACTGGGTCCTCTGTAAGAGCGCTAAGTCTCTTACACTCTGAGCCATATCTCCAGCTCTGGAATTACTTTTTGAAATGCAATTCTAGTTAGCTGATATCTAGTTCACAAAAGTCAATGTTTCAAAATATCAGAATACCTTAATGAGGCCAGGTATATAGGTATAGTGGCAGAGAAGGCAGATCTATGAGTTCAGGTCAGTCTGGTCCACATAGCGAGTCCCAGGCTAGCTAGGGCTACTTAGTGAGATTCTGACTCAAAATAAAAACAAAACAACCTTAATGATCATGTGTTACTTTCATGAAAAACTCTGTGTCTAGCAGGTGCCACTAAGACAGCTCAGCCGGTAGAGGTACTTGCTACCAAGCCTGATGATCCGAGTTCAATCCCCAAGACTCACATGGTAGAAAGAGAGAATTAACTCCACAACTTGTTCCAAATTCCAAATGTGCACTCTGGCACATATGCACCCCCACACATAAATACATAAATGTAATAGTTTTTAAAAAGCTCTGTGTGGCTAATGTGATTAGGATGTGATTAACATTTTTAAATTCCCATGATATTTATAAGAGCTAGCTTTAGTCTAGCAAGCTATGTTTTCTTATGTAAGACCAAGTCTGTGGCAGACAGTCCAATGTTACCCATACCCAACCCCTCAACTA